GGTGAGTCCTTCGCTGCTCACTCTTTCCTCTTTCACCGTGAGGCTCCCACTGGCCTCACCCGTGCCAGATCCCGGAGAGGATGGCCTGGGCTCCCAATTCTGCACTGAGCGCCTGCTCTCCCACAGGCCCGGTGGCCTTCCTCTCACTGCCCGACTCCCCCGTCTGTGTGCCCTGAGCTCAGCCCCGAGCCCGGTGGATGAGCTGCAGGCAGCATGAATCTGCCTGATCCCAGAGCTGGCCGCATCTCTCCGAGCCCTGGGAGAGCCCCCAGGAGGCCTGAGTTTCTGCAGCATGCCTGGTTGGGGGCAGAGAGGGCGGAGGTGAGCATACATCGTGTTGGCCCCGGGGGGCCGATCGGGCCTTGCCCTCAAATGATGGATGGAGACTTCTGGAGGGGCAGGCAGCCCAATCTGTTGTCTTAGTCCTAGCACCTTCCCCTTCCCTGTACCTGCCCTCCTGCTTCCATCTGCCCATCTGGCCTCTCCTCTGTCAGGTAGCTGAGAAGCCAGCCACCTCTCAGGTCTGGGTTGGCTCTCCCTGGTTTCAAGAAAGTGACATCTGTGAGGCACTGACCACCACCCCCCCCCACGCCAGCCGGGCGCAATGGGAGCCCTAACCAGGGGGCAGGGCCCACCCACAGCAAGGGCCGTGTTCTCTTGCTCTGCACCACATCCCTGGGGCCTGGCACGGGAACTGTTTGTGAAGCGTAGATGTTGGTTGGCTGGATCTAGGAAGAGGGCAAGGCAAGTCCAGGCATAGTGCCGGGTCAGGTTTGTTGAAATATGGCTCCAGGTAAGCTGAGAGGCCCAGCTGGACACCCCTCCCTCTGGACTCCCCCCGGCCAGCGGAGGGATGCCCGGCAGCCCATGCCACAGGTTAGGCCCTGGGCACTAGCTATTTCAGACAGCTGTGTTTCCAGGGGGGTGTGAGTAGAGCGTGTTTTTCACTTGCTTTCCCATTTGAACTTGGAGTCTATAATTAACCTCCAATCGGTTGCAGTCCTTTTGGGGGTGGGAGAGGTGGTGGGGATGGGGACGGCCCACAGCCTGCCTGCAGCAGGACAGTGGGAGACTTTGATGCCGGGCAGGCTGGCCGAATTGTCTCCAGGTGTTGCCCTGCAAAGGTGGACTGCTCAGCCTTAGTCATGAGATGGGGAATCATTAACCCTTTTAAGAGTTCGCTGCTCCTGCCTCCTGAGTACTGGGTGAGAGTCAGGGCCGGGTCCTCCCTGGCTGGGGTGCCTAGCCATGCCCTGGGCGTCTGTCTTGCTCTCAGATCTCTGCAGGCTCCGCACCCACCGCCCACTGCCGAGAGGAATGAGGTCAGGCTGCTGGCAGCAGCAGCACCTCCTGGCCGCGGGGCTGGGATGTGGGAAAGGAGCAGCCCTGGTTTGGTTGTTGCTGTTGTTGTTATCTTTAATGAGGTGCTTTCTGGGGATCACCTGTCAAACAGAGGCAAGCCAGATGCCCCGGCTTGGTCCCCGGTGATGGGAAAGCAGATATCCCAAGAGAGCCCATGACCGGACTCATGGCCAGGACTTTTCCAGGTCCCGGAGCCCAGTCTGGAGGGACTTTGGCTTGTGGAGGTCGGACTGCTCTTGAGAGAGCGCCCTCCTATTCCTGTGCAGGTGCCACAGGGGGCCTCTCCTCTCCTCTCCTCGGGCCTCAGCCTCCATGGGCCTTTTGACAAGAGGCAGGGGATTCGCTCAAGTGACCCAGAGAGTGTGGGAACTCAGCAGAGAGCTGGGTCTGAGGAGGGAGACGCGAGGGGAAGTGAAGGGCGAGCTTCCCGATACCCAAGGGCCCACCTAAGCCGGCCACCCTCCATCTCCCACGGAGAACCGAGGTGTCACTGCTGGCAGGGGACAGGGTGTTGGAGAGTTCCATCCCTCTTCCTTTGCACACAGGAGAACGATGGGGCTGTCTACTCCTGTAAAGAGTGACCGTCTCAGAAACCCGCAGGGGCCGCTCTGCGCGTCCTACAGGGTCACTATGGGTCGGGATATACTCTATGACAATGAATGAATTTCTTTTGTACACAGAGTCCTGATGACTCGGCTGGGTAAGGGTTGGGCTGCTAACCCCAAGGTGAGCAGTTCAAACCCATCAGCCGTGCTGTGGGAGAAAGGCAAGGCCGTCTGTTCCCATCCAGATGCCTGCCTCTGAAGCGCTGGGCAGGGTCGCTGTGAGTTCGAATCGGCTTGGTGGCATTAGGGTAAGGCTTGGGTTTTCTTTGCTTCTGCCTGATGCACTGCAGCCGGCTCCCGGGGCCTTTGACTTTGCCCTCGCTGCGTGGAGGAGGCCCTGGGGGCTGAGGACTGTCCTTCTCCCTTGGCCACCAGGCTGAAGAGATAGTGATCACTGCAGTGCTATCGTTAATATCAGAGCTGGAGACCACCCGCTAACTCCTCTGAATAATGGAATATTATGCCGCCATTAAAGTGCTTTTGGAAAAATAAATAAATAAATAAAGTGATTTTGATCTGTATTTCCCAACTTGGGCATTTTTTGTTTGTTTCTTTTTACAGTATTTGGGGAGAAAGAAAAACTCACTTCCTGACTGCAAAGAGTAGACTATAAAAGAAGTTTTGAAAGAAACGTCTTTCAGGAGCTATTTGAAAAAGGTTGACAGCAGTTCTCTTTCTGGTAGTAATTGAATGGGTTTGAAGGCGCCTTTCTTCCTTTGCGTTACTTCTATTATGCCGTTTTTGTATACACAGCCCAGTGGCAGAAGGCGAAGTGCAGAGAGCTGGCCTCCTTGGGGAGTGGGGCCATGGATGACCACTCCATATATGGCTGGGTCCTTTCTGCCTGGCTCTGACGCAGCTCGGGCCCTGATGCTGTCAGCTCTATGTTAGTCAGGTCACTTGCGTCGGGGGGGGGGGGGGGGCTATGGTGACGTTCTCACCCCAGCAGGGTCCTGTCTGTGCCAGGAAGTCTGGCCCCAAGGCTGGCCTCCACACTTGCACGCTAGCCTTGCACTCTGACACACCAACACCACCAGGCCTGCTCAGAGAGGGTGCCAGAGCCCGGGCTGGAGCTGCCCGGTCATGTTTGAGGCCCTGTGAGAGTTGCTGCCAAATGCTGAGTACACAACACCTCAACCCAGTCTCAGGGGACCCCGGGGAAGGGGCGTCCGGAGGAGAGTGATGGTGGCTTGAGTGAAGAATGAGCTCGGCAGGCGGGAAGCAAGATGAACTCAGCCTAGAAGCCCCCATGCCTTCTTCTCAAACTCGAGCAGTAAATCGGACTTCTCCTGACTTACACAGCCCCGTGGCTCTGGGCCCTGCCTGCCTTCCCAGCCTCTCCTCACGCCACCCCTGCCATCCATTGGCCCAGCCATAAGGTCTCCAGCCTCCCCTCACGCAGCCCCTGCCACTCACTGTCCCAGCCACCGGGGGGTCTTTTAGTCCCTTGAACTCCCCAAACTCATTCTCCCCTTAGGGACAACCATTCCCTAGGTGCTGATGACTTGTCTCACATCTCCTGCCGATTTTGTGATTGACTCCTTGTCTATCTGGTCACTACACTTCAGGCTCCCGAAGACAGGAAGTTGACCTGTCTTGTGCACCCCTACGTATCCCAGGCTCAGAACCGTGCCCAGCATGCAACAGGTGCTCAGTTTGCATGCTCCATGAATGAATGGGGTGGTGAAGTCGGTGAGCTCGTTCTGCCATGAGCAGGCTACCTCCAGAAGTGCCTACTGAGTCACAGAGGATTCTGACCAGATGAAACGGGGTCCCATGGTTTCCACTGGTAGTGCGAAAGGACTGTGAGCCCCCGTTCTTCAGGACTTCTGAATCAGGGTCATGTCTACTATTTCTGGGGTCAGTTTCTGTGTGGCCCCCTCCCCTCCTCACCATTAAGCAGACGCAATGCCTAGTGCCGTGCCAGGATTCCTGTCGGAAACAAGGTTGGAAACAAGGTTGTAGAGTAACCAGTGCTTCCTCCCACCAGGTGTCACCCCGGCTCTGGCATGTTGGGAGGGAGGGGGCCCATGGTGGTAGGGGACCAGGGGATCTCTTACCACAGAGTTGCAAAAAATGTCTACACTCTGAGAAGGGGAGGGTGCACTTTGAGCTCTCTGTGTCCCCAGTTCACTCGCTAGAGGTCACCAGGTGAGCACTAGGTGCCAACCCAACTTCCAAGCAGAAGCACCTGTGAAGACATGCTCAGTGTGTAACCAGTCACAGAGCGCTACATGGACAGCGTGTGCACTTTTCTGAGTGTGTGTGTGTGTGTGTGTGTGTGTGTGTAAGAGAGAAGGAGAGAGATGTTTATTTAACTTACAGAAACACCCAAGGAACTTCCAAACCCACATGTCCAGACCCACTCTCACAGGTTCTGCTTCGGAAGAGCTGCGGCGCGTCCCAGGCACTGCTATTATTTTAAAGCTTCTCATGGGATTCTCGAGAATTTGCAGCCACAGTGAAGAACGAGTGGGGTGATCAGAGACCCCAGAAGAAAAAGAAAAGGAAAAGATACGGAGGCAGGATTTCTCTCACACTTAAAAGAATGGGATTCTAGGATCCTTTGTGGTGCTGTAATGTCAGACTGCTAACCTCAAGGTCAGTGGTTCAAACCCACCAGCCGATCCTCAGGAGAAAGTTGAGGCTGTCTTACTCCTACAAAGATTTCCACCTCGGAAATCCTAAATAGGGTCACTGTGAGTCAGAATTGACCGGATGACAATGGGTTCGATTTGGCTTAGAAAATCTGTCGGACTGATTGTTGGTGCACATGAAACCCCTGTCAAGAAAAGAACCGGCATTTTGAAAATTGAGATGCAGGTCATTGCAGGGGGTGGGGGTGGGGAACGCTGTCACTGAAGGTCAGTAGGCGTAATATTCAGGAAGCCTCCAGATATGAACAGGCAACCCCCAAAGAAGGAATCCAACGGGCCAGGCTCTGTGAAAAGTGTGCCGCCTCCCACGTCATCAGAGCAATGCCAGCGAAGACGACAAAGAGACTTTACCTTTGTGCCTCGTTAATTGGCAACGATGCGGTACATGATCATGTCCTGTGCCGGTGAGGGTGTGGGGACATGAGCAGGCACCGTCATTCCCAGGTGGGAGTGCAAATTGGCTCAGCCTTTCCAGAGGCCCAGTTGGCAAGGTGCGCGGCCCAGGAAGATTGCATCCCCTTTTGACGCAGCAGTTCTACTTTTAGGAGATTGCCTTAGGAAATAATTGCGGGTAATAATAACAATAAACAGCTAACCTTTATTAAATGCGCTCTCCGTGCCAGGCTCTGCACGCATTGTCTCCTATAATCCTCACAGCCATCATCCCACGAGGTCGGAGCTATTATTATCTTTTGCATTTGAAAGATGAAAAAAGATACTGAGGGCAAAAGGATTAAACTAATGAGCCACGGACACAGAGCTCACAGGGAGCCCAGCAGGATTTTTGCCAGGGGTCCTCTGGCTTCCCTGTCAGCAGTGTGCCCGGGGGAATGGGGGGGCGGGGGGGCGGCTGAGATGAGCTCTTCCTCCAGGCTGGTTTGCAAGTGCGGATGGGAAGCGTGTTCAATGCCCTGCAATAAGAATTGGTTCCATACATTTTGATATACTTCAAATGATGAAATATTATACAGTCATGAAAAATGGTACATTGGGGTGGAGGGAAGGTCGGGAAATACTGAGATTGGTTTGTATCGTGTATAGTGTATATAAAGAAGTGATGAAATTGGTCACCTCCTGAGGAGGCAACTCTATGGCTATGGTCAGAAGTACAAGGGAGTTGGTTGGTTGGCTGGTCGGCTGGTTGGTTGATTTTAGGTGTTTGGGGGTTTTTTGTGTTTGCTTTATGTTTAGCCATATGTTTCTCTGCACTTCTTGAATTCTGAATCATGTGAAAATGTATATGAGGGGGGCTCTGTAAAGTTCAGGGGGAAATGCCATGATCTCTTAATTCCATTTTCTCCATGCACTTTTTGAAGTTCACACACATACACATAAGCCACTGGCCATCTAGTCAGTTCAACTCCTGATAACCCTCGACTTGTCAGAGTAGAACTGGATTCGGCAGGGTTTTCGGTGTCTGGTTTTCAGTAAGTTGATCACCAGGCCTTTCTTCTGAGGCACTTCTGGGCAGACAGAAGCAGAAGGGCAGGTATGGGCAGCCACCGAGCACATTAACCAGCTGCCCCACCCAGAAATTCACACACCCCTCATGCTTGCTTCGGGCTCCATGTAATTTTATTTTCTTGAAATTCAAGGCCCTACCTTGTCAAATCCTACTGGAATTGATAAAGAGATCCTTAAACGGCTTACCCCTGGGATCCCCAGATGCATCTGTTCATGAAACCCTTTCCTCGAAGTATATCCATTATCAACTCATGTCGTAGAGAACATCTTCTTCTAAGTTTTGTTGTTGTTGTTGTTGTTGAGGATATGCACAGCACAGTTTCTGCATGCACAACTGGGCGATGCTAACTCGTCTTCAGGTGGCGTCTCCTTTCTACCCTCCTTTTCCGAGGTCTCCAGACACCCTGGCCACCCCACCCCACCTCCTGCCACATCCAGCAGAAGCTCCCTGCCCGCTAAGCTTCCTATCCAACTAGTTGAGTTGCTGATGCCAATTTGATCCCGTATAGATTGTTTTTACAGAGCCCCAGTGACAGAGTGGGTTACTTCATTGGGCTAATAACATCAAGGTCAGTAGTTCAAAAGCACCAGTCGCTCGGGAGAAAAAGAAGGCTCTCTACTCCTTATAGAGTTACCGTCTTGGAAATCCACAGGGACGGTTCTCCTCTGTCCTAGAGGGTCGCTGTGAGTCAGAAGAAACTCGGTGGCAGTGAGATAGTTCTTAATAGTTTAGTTCAGCAAGTAAGAGGCTCTTTCTTGAGCGTTATGCTCTTTCTTTGGCTTTAAGAAGACTTCAGGAGACCTTTGGGGTTAAAGCTCAGAATGATCTCGGGGCAGTTATCTCTGGGGCTCAGCCAGCCTCCATGGCTCCAGAAAGGCAGGAATCCATGTGAATCTGTTCTGTGTCTCTCCCCTTTTTTAGACCAGATTCTTCTGTGGGGTCGTGTCCTATCGAATTTAGGGCGGGAATTGTATAACTTAATGCCAAGGGGCAGGAGTTGCGCTGTTTCTGTACATAAAAGAAACTTCTTATTGGCAGTGATTTCATTTTGTTTAAAAGTGTACGTATGTCTGTGAAAGAGGGGCGAGGAGAGAATGAGTGCTTCTCTTTTCTTCTCTCTTTCCTGTCTTGTTTAATTTTCTACAGCGCACACAAGTATTTCACAATAAGTATTTCGTCTTTTTGAAGTCTTCTGTGATGTTTTGGGAGCCCTTTCTTGCCATGCCCTCGCTGTCCCCTGCCCCTCCTGGTCCCCTCCCTACTCACAAACAGCAGCTCAGGGTCCAGGTCCAGGAGGGGATCGTTCTCTATAGCCACCTCCCCCTTTGGCTGCCTTTCTCCAGAGCCAGCTGTCCTCTGGCCAGGACTCTGGGCCTTGAGGACAGGACCAGTGACCGCAGGCTGCCCGCTCCCCAGGCCACTCCCCAGACCCAGCAGACCCTCCCTTCTACCACTGGAAAGACTCCATCTGTCTCTCCACTCTGCAAACAGGCCTGGCGTCAGCCCGGCTCATGACAGATCTAGATGCCTGGGCTTTGCTCCCCGCTCTGTGGCTGCCTGGCTGTGTGGTCTCCGTAAAGTGTCAGAACCTCTCTGAGTCTCAACTCTACCCTTTGTATCTGTGATGACTCCCGCCTTGCACAGCTCAGGGGTCACACGAGGGTATGCGGGAAAGGGTGGCATACCCCAGCAAGAGGTATGGCTGGCCCAAGCCTTACAGAGAGCAGAGGCGCTTTCCTGGTGCTTTGTCTTGTTTTTAGGTAGGAGAGCAAAAGAGAGCCTGGGAGACGGGGCAGGTGGACATGGATGGTGTGGAAGAAATCCCGGGACCACTCCTTAGCTTGGCCCTGGAAACCCTCCATTTGTGGTTTGCGGTTTGTGTAGCCAGGGCCCACCAGCCTCAGAGCCCTGGTGCCGCAGTGGTTAGGTGTTGGGCTGTCATCCAAAAGGTCAGCAGTTTGAAACCACCAGCAGCTCTGCGGGAGAAAGATGGGGCTTTCTACTCCCGTCAAGAGGGAGTTTCAGAAACTCACAGGGGCAGCTCTAGCCTGTCCCAGAAGGTCACTATGAGTCAGTATTGACTCGGTGGCAAGGAGTCTGGTGTTTGGGTTTGGTGCCCATCAGTGGAGCCCGTCCTGTCCCCCACATCAGTCCCATCCCCTACATGCCCGCTCCCTTCAACCACACAGCTCAGCCACAGTGTGGCATCTGCCTGGCCCACCGGCCTGTACTATCCTCGAAGGCTTAGTTAAGTGAGGTCTCCCCCACCCCCAGGGTTGGGGTTACTCCTCTGGATGCCCCACCCCTGCCCTCCATGACCATGCTGTGATGCCAGTGCCCGGTTCCAGTTCCCATACGAGGCTGAACTGCACAGGGGAGCTGTGTCTGCCATCTCGTCTCCCTGCAGCCTCTGGGCCAGCACAGGCCTGAGGCCCAGGGACAGGAGTGAGATCCTGAGTGCTGGAGTCAAGAGACCTGGGTTTGGATCGCAGTTCCACATCCTTAGAGAGAGGCTGTCACTGTGCTGAGCCTCGATTTTGAAGCGGTCATGAGCTAGTAATGTCGATCAAGTTCCTTGTCCCCTTCCGGGCACTCAGGAACCTCTCCACCGAGAGCGTCACAAAGACCTCGCCTCCCTGCAGACTCTGCCAGAGCTGCCCGGGCACCACTAGAAAGGGCACCTGGAGGAGGGGCTCCCCAGGCTCACCCCGCCACCTCCCCAGGCCGAGCCCAAGGACAATGACCCTTACCCTACACGACTCAGGCCTGGAGCTGCCTTTACCACCACCGTGCTCACCCCCCTGTCTTGTGTCCCCACAGCCACCCGGCCCAAGCTGAAGAAGATGAAGAGTCAGACAGGGCAGGTGGGCGAGAAGCAGTCGCTGAAGTGCGAGGCAGCCGCTGGCAACCCCCAGCCCTCCTACCGCTGGTTCAAGGACGGCCAGGAGCTCAACCGCAGCCGCGACATTCGCATCAAGTACGGCAATGGCAGGTGAGCGCCCTCCACCCACCCCTCCCTCTGATACCCTCCTTCTGGTCTGAGGAGGAGGCTTGAGCGAGCAGAATCCGGGGCTGTGCCCCTAGACCTGCTACACTGAGAAAGAACCCTAGCCCCTCTCTACACGCTTTCTTCGCCACGCCCGACCTGCTCGTAACAGCTCTGGGCCCCGCTGGCTGGGTGGGCCCAGTGTCTTGCTGCCATCAAGTCAATGCGGACTCACAGAGACCCTGTAGGGCAGGGTAGGGCTGCCCCTGTGGGTTTCCGAGCCGCACGTTCTTGTGGGAGTAGAAAATCTCACCTTTCTCCCGAGTCTGGCAGGTTAATGGTGCCTGGGTCCGTCTGGGTAGACTAGAGAAACAAATTCATAAACACGCGTATGTGTATACGAAAGAGCTTTATATACAAGAGCAATTGAAGAGTGAGAAAACATCTCAGCCCAGTCCAAATCAAGTCCCTACGTCCGATATTAGCCCAATCTATCTGATACCAATCTATAAAGTCCTCTTCAGACTCACGAAACACATGCAATGACGCTGAATGCAGGAGGATCACTGGTCAGTGGGCGGGAGGTCTTGTGGATCCAGTGGTGTTGTAAGCATCTCAGCGCTGGCAGCGGTCTGTCTCCAGGTGGCTCCTCCAGCTCAGGGCACTAACATAGTTTCATGTGTCTCGTCAGCTGCAAGGTCTCCCAGGGAGTGAGCCTGTGTCCCACCTCCAATGAGCTATCTCTCCTTAGCGCCTCCAAATGAGGTCATCAAGCTGTGACCTGATTGACAGCCTAAACTCCACCCCTTCGCTGGTAAATCTCAAATTGACAACAGAGGATGTAACTACCACAGTGCCCTAGTAATGCCTCTGGGTGGTTGAAGGTCATTGGACTGTCCAGGTCAGCCTAAAATGTCTTCATGAAGGACCTGCCGTGGGGTCTGAAGGCCCCCCTGTGTGGTGGCCTTTGGGAAAGAGCCGGGCTCTAGAATGTCTGTGGGAGGTCACACCGTTAACGGGCTTCTTTCTCGTGGGAGCAGAGAGCTAAGCAAGGGGAAGAATCACAACTCAGACTTGTCTCGTCTCTGACCCTGAGCTGCAGGCCAGTGAGTCAGAAGCCCTTGGAATCTGGTAGACAAGGGCCTCTCTCTGAGGCCAAGGCTACCAGAAAACCAGGAATCCAGGAGCAGCCTCCCACCGCCCCGTCCGTCCCCGCCCAGCAAACGAGGATGCTGAACAGCATAGAGGAGCCCCAGGAGGGTGGCGTAGTAGGATATGCAGGAGTTGGGCTGATAGCCACAGAGTCAGCAGTTCAAAACCACCAGCTGCTGTGCAGGGCAAAGGTGAAGCTTTCTGCTCCCCTAAAGATGCACAGCCTTGGGAACCCACAGGGTCCGTTCTCGCTGCCCTATATATATAGGGTCCCTATGTGTCAGACTGGAAAGAGTGAAACCACACAAGGTCTGCCTGGCCTCTGCTCTGAAAGCCTGGGGTCGGCCTCCTCCCCTGCGTGCCTGCCCCCTCTAGGGTCCCCTACAGACAGCTGTCTTTGCGGCTGGCGTTGTCTTCTTCACTGAATCCTCGTAACAAGCAAGCAAAGGTACTTCTTGAGAACCACACCCAGCCTGCCCTGCCACAGAGTTGTGGAAGGAACCCGGGTCCAGGCTGTACCCACAGGGCTCTGTGAGCCCGGATGGTCACACCTGCCTCTGGGCCTTCATCTCCGGAACCTGTGAGCAGCAGGAGGGGGAGCAAATGGGTAGGGACGAGGGAACAGGTCACCCCAGAAAGTGGCCGGAGCAGAAAACAGGCAGTAAGTTTTTTTAAAAGGTTTGATTTAGAGAAAGACGGAAAGAATGCTACTTCCTAAGGAAATGGGTGGTTGGGGAAGGGGTGTCTGGTATATCCACGATTGGCAAGAATTCAGGCTGTCCCTCTAGCTCACTTCCTGGGGCCACTTTGTCCCTTCTCACTGCCCTGACAAGACTGGCTCCAATCAGGGAGAGTAGAATTGACTCCCCCCCTGGAGCTTCAGGTTCCTGATCTTGCCCCCTCCTGTCCTCTCTGTCTAGATGATCTCCCCTCACCCCCACCCCATCCCCAACTTTACTGAGGCAAAAGAAGTCAGGACAGAGTGACTTCATGACTTCTAGACATGCCACAACTTGGCCCGTCCTCATCCCTTGTACCTGGGTCCAGTGCCACGTCCTCCCATGCCCTCCTTGGACAGACAACTCCTGGGAGCTCTGGCTGGTCCCACCAGCAAGCGTCAGTCTGTGGTAACTCCAGAGTCTTTCTGTCTGCCTGCCAGCCCATGCCTAGCCCTTCTCTGCTTCAATGCCTTCCCTCCATCGGGCTCTCAGCTCTTCCTCTGCTACCTGCTGCCCCATCTCCCGTCCCCTCCCCTCCATATGGAGTCAGCTGAGAGTTTGCATGTCTCGTGCCCACTGATTGCACGCCTTCTCTTGGTTCTGCTGGAACAGCCCAACACTCTCGGTGGGTGTGGCTCTGAGTTGCCAGGCCCTGTTTGTCCAGGCCTCCCAGCAGCCACTGGGATGGTTTCCACCTGCTCCCCGAGCTGTCTGCTGTCTCCTGCGTCCCGTGAGTCTGCGCACTCTCTCCCACCTCTGTCATCCTTGGCGCTGGCCTCTGTGTTCGAGTTTCCTTCATCTCCTGATCCTTCTCCCCAGGAGGGATTTTACTTCTCCCCCTGGCTTTAAATATCTGAGAACCCCCTAGGCCCCACCTCAAGTCTTGCTGGCTTTTCAAACCGAGTTTCTCATCCAGGAGGCCAGTGACCCACTAGAGACCACGCCTGAGATCAGCCCAGGGACATTTCAAATGCAGATATGCCCCAAGCTAGCCTCTTCCTCCCCACCCCCATCCAGCGCTGTCTCTCCTCCCATGAGCCTCTCTCAGCAGTCACAGAGCCAGGCTGTCTGCTGCTCAGCCCCTATCTCATTGGCTCCCACACCTCGCAAAGGAGGTGCCCTTCTCTGTGCCCGCGCGCATGGCTCGCCTGTTTCACCCACCCCACCCCACCCCACCACCGCTCCCTCTAGCCCAGGGGTTCTCAACCTTCCGAATACTAAGACCCTTTAATACAGTTCCTCATGTTTTAGTGGGCCCCCCCCCAACCATAAAAGTATTTTTGTTGCTACTTCATCACTGTCATTTTGCTACCATTATGAATTGGGCAACCCCCAAAAGGGTCGTGACCCACAGGTTGAGAACTGCTGCTCTAGCCTCTTTCCCTTAGTCCAGTCCGGACAGTGCTCCACCTTTTCTGGGCCATAGGGCCCCTTCTGAATCTAGTCTATATTCAACACAGATGCACTGAGCATCTTCTGTGTGCCACGTGCCCTACCTGCTGAAGGCTGGGAATCTACCAGGGAGCACAACGGGCCTGGTCCCCACCAGCATGGAGCTTCCAGTCTAGCGTTCAGTGTCGAATCTGGTGGGGAGGGAGGGAAACCTGGTGGTTTAGACAAATTCATCTGGAAAAAAAAAGGGGGTTCTCTAAACAGGCTCAACGGCCCCTCGTGCTGACAGGAAGTCCACAGCATCCCTGACCTGGCAAATGCCTGACGTAGGAGGCTCGTCCTCACACGGACACACCCCAACCCTTCCTTCATTGACTGGACACGATGGAGCGCTTCCTGCAGGCCAGGCACAGCCCAGGCCCCGTCCCACAGTTCTCAGGACACAGACACTGGAGACAAACCCCCCCGACCCAGAGAGGCCCAGTCCCAGCTCCCAGCCCTCCTGCTCTTGACCTTTCAGTCCCTGCCCTGCTGTTCACCAGCACCTCTCTGTTTCAGACCCTTGGTCAAACATGCTGGGACCCTGACCTTGGGCCCAGGTGGCTCGTTTCATCTGACGTCACCCTCCCCTTCTTGTCCCGGGCAGAGTTCTCCAGGTTCCAGCTGAAATGTCAAATTCTCTGGGACACTCTCCCCCTCTGGTGCCATCATCCCGTTGTTTGAGGGAGGCGGGGCCATGCTGCCTGGATCTGCTCTCCTGGTTTCTATAAGAGCCTCAAAAACTAGGTCCCCTGTCCCAAACCTGCCCTTGTCCACTGTAGGGCCCAGCACACAGGAGATCTCACTGAATGTGGAACTGATGCGCATTAGCCCTCCTCTCCTGGGTGCAGGTTCTCCTGGACTGCACTAAAGAAACTTTGTGTTTTTCTAGACTTTACACAGGAGCCCACGTGACATCTTGGTTACGGGTTGGGCTGCAAACCACCATGTCAGCAGTTCAAAACCAGCAGCCGCTCCAAGGGAGAAAGATGAGGCTTTCTACCCCCGTAAAGAGTGACAGTCTCAGACACCCACAGGGACAGTTCTACTCTGTCCCGTAGGCTTGTCCTGACTTATAATCGACTCGATGGCAGTGAGTTTGGTTTGAGATTTTAAATAAGTACTATGCGGCTCGAGCCTCTGTTTCAATGGCCAGCAAATGGGTCACCCAGCCCAGAAATAGGGCCTGGCCAGGGCTTCCCCTGCCGTGTAGGAGGGACCCCAAGGAGACCGGGTCATACTGCCAGGGAAGTTAAAACACACCGGCTGCTCCTTGGGAGAAAGCTGTGCCGTCTGCTCTGTGCGGATTATACTCCTGGGCCACAGGGCTGCCCGGAGTCAGAATCAAGTGGGCCGCAGTGGTTTGGTGTGCTTTGGCTGTTAGGAGCCTGCAGTGTGCCCCTGCCACCTCACCTGCCCCTATCTGTCAGGTCCGATTCAGTTCAGCGTCTCAGAAACCTCCTGGTCCCACCTGCCCTACCCCTGCACTCTCAGTAGAGAGTTGTTCGTGCTAGAGGGGTGGGCTGGGTTGTGACAGGGGCCTTCTGATTCCTGTGGCTTAAGTGCCCTCCGAGTGGCTCGAAGAGAGCTGCCCACCCTCACCCTCACGCACACCAGCAGGGATGGGGGTGGAGTCTCCTTCCGCCCTCCCTGCCCTGCTTTGCTTTCCCCGCCCACCCAGCCTGGCATGCTGCCTGCCAGGCCACACGGCTTGTCTGCCTCTGTGCCACCGCTTTGAGACGTCTCACCCAAGCCTTCCTGTGCCAGGAGAAGACTGCCCCCCAGCCCCAGTCCTGGGCGCAGGGCCCTCCCCTGCAGAACCGCGTGTTCCCTTATTTATGAAGGGCAGGCTGGGACAGGTCCCTTCAGCAGGCAACAGGAGGTAGGCGCTGAGGAAAAAGTGTGGGGACGGTGGGAGATGTAGCTGCCCAGATTGTATCCTTGTCAGCAGGGACTAGCTGGGGAAGGAGGGGTGTCCATTGCAGGGGGCAGGCCTGGGTCCATGCGGAGGCCTGCTGGAGAGAGCCCTGGCTTGAGGGGCGGGGGGCGAGGGACACTCCTGACTAGGGCTGAGCAAGAGAAGGAGAAAACTTAGAGCCTCTTCTAGCTCTGAGCCCAGAGCCTCTCATGCCTCCCTAGCACCCATCTCCCAGAACTGCTGAGATTCCCCAGCAGTTAGCAGGGCCCCGGGGGCGTAGTGGTTACGCTTTGGGCAGATATTCGCCAGGTCATCAGTTCAAAGCCACCAGCGGCTCCACTGGAGAAAGATGAGGCTTTCTCCTCCCACAAAGAGTTACAACCTCCGAAACCCACAGGGGCAGGCCTGCCCTGTCTGATAGGGTTTCTGAGTCCACATCGACTTGACAGCAGTGAGTCAGGTTTCCATTTGTGAGCCAAGGTGCCTCCAGCCTGCAGCCCTCAGAGTTTTGTGGGGGATTGGATGTGGTTTGGTTTGGTTTCTACCCTCTTGCCTCCTTCTTGTTCTCCAAAGGGCCAGCACTGCCCCAAAGCCTTGGACATCCTTTCTATAGGTCTCAACCTTTCTGTAGGTCAGGAAGTCCTTCCCTGAAGCCCCAGCTTTCACCCCTCCAGGCATCGTGTGTGTGAGCCTCGCTCCACCCTGCCCCACTCCTGCGCACGTTGGGAGCCCTGCGAGAGAGTGGAGGCCATGGTTCTGTGCCACCACCAGCCCCCAGATTGACCTGTGACCCTCAAGCCCCACCCCCTCCCTGCTCACCTAGTGTGCAGGGAGGTGCTGGCGGCAGGGAAGAAGTGCTGCCCTAGCCAGAGCCCATGGCTCTGGATCACGAAGGGAGCAAAGTGGACTTCAGAGGAAGTAAATGTCAGAAGATGCCAGGCCAGGGAGCAAGACCAGCTTAAGAGGAGCAATGGCACTGGGTAGTTGGGCAGCTGTCACCTTAACATCGGCAAAGACGATGCCACAACAGTAGGACCCACCGGCAAGGCAACCTTGTGGGGCCCTTGTTGAGATCTTGGGGTGAGGGGTCTGGGAAGAGACATACTCCCCGAGGCAGAGTCCCTGAGAGGGACAGTGGGTTCGTTTGCCATCTCCCACCTCTCGGCTCACCTCAGCCTCCCGCCACCAGTCCCCTGGCTCGGCTTGGCATCTGGTGGCTTGAGGCAGTGGCAGCTCTGCCTTCTGACCCACTGCACATAATCCAGGAATCTGATTCATAAACTCCGCACTGGAAAGAGGGGGAGGTCCGGTCACGTCAAGATATTTTCATGCTACTTCTTGTTCCTTCCTGGGGCCCAGCCTTGGTTCCCAGGTCACCCGGAAAGCACGTGGGCCGAGCAGTGGGTCCCACGAGGCCTCCTTCCTGTGTTGCAGATGCAAGGAAACTCGGGTAGGGGGATCCAGGGGGTGTTGGCGGGTCTTCACAGCGACAGGGAGCCAGGCACAGGGAACAGCTTTCGGCAGGCAGGAACTGGGCTCACTCACTAGCTTAGAGTGGGCTGGCGCCAGCCACGGACTCCGAAAGAGAACCAGAGCGCTCTTGAGGGGCCGAGTTGCCACCAACCCCAGCTCCCGGTCCACCTCCACCTTCGCCTTGCTGTGTGTCTAGGCAAGTCAGGGAGCTTCTTCTCCAGAACTCGGTGTCCCCGTGGATAAAAGGGGCAGAGTACTACCCTGTCCACTGCCAGGTGGGCAGTGAGGATCAAAGAGGGGCTTTTTCTTCCCACCGTAGGAGCCCTGGTGGTGCAGTGGTTATGCATTGGGTTGCTGATCACAAGGCCGGCAGTTTGAAACCCCCAGCGGCTCCACAAGAGGAGCAGGAAGGAGGCCTTCTACTTCCTTAAAGAGTCGCCCTCTCAGAAACCCACAAGGACAGTTCTACTTTGTCCTGTTTGGATCACGGAGTCAGAATTGACTGGATGGCAGGGAGTTGAGCTGAGTTCTGAGTTCGGTTTCGTTTGAGATATCCAAGCTCCCAACCTAGAGTCGGCACCCAGCGAACATTCGCTGGATGGGCGGATGTCGCAGAAGGCCTGGGAGAGGCCCCAGAGTGAGTGCCCCCAGTGACAGGCTGATGAAGAGGCAGGCGAGACCCTGACGAAGGTTGGGCTGGGAGTCTGGGCACAGTTGCCATGAGAACCCATCAGGACAGTGACCTGAAAATAGGCTTTGCCTGAGCCTCGCTGCTCCCAGAACCCACCACCTGCCTATCTAGAGGGGCGGGCTGCCCCCTCTCAGAGAAGGTTGGGCAGCTGGTGAGTCAGGGGTCCCCTGTGGAGGGGAAGGAGCGGGGACACTGAAAGAAAAGGACTAGGAGTGGGGACCGTGCGATTTCCTCCCCCCTGAAAATCGTTCCCAAGAAGGTTCAGCCCTGGGAACGCAGCTATGAAGATTTGCAGATTTGTAACACGTGTGTGGCCGGGAGTCCGCCCTGTGTCCTCTTGGGGGCCCACCCCCCTCCGAGAACTCTAGCTTGCTCCTGGGACCCTAGACGTGGCCCGTCTGAAGGGGTCTACTTCGCATCCACCCTGCGGGGCCACGGAGGCTCTGTGGGGAGAGGTGGCCAGCGAACAGGGGACAGTCCGATGACCGGTGGGGAGCTCAGCAGGCCTGGGCCTAGCTCACGCCTCTCCCCGTCTTGTCCCCTCCCTCCCCAGAAAGACCTCCCGGCTCCAGTTCCACAAGGTGAAGGTGGAGGACGCTGGGGAGTACGTCTGCGAGGCCGAGAACATCCTGGGCAAGGACACCGTGAGGGGCCGGCTGCACGTCAACAGCGGTAGGTGGTCCCCCACAAAGGGAGGGCCCTGGAGGGCCCTGGCAGGGCCCACAGTTGCCCCACCCACCCACCCAGCCTCGGGAGGCCTGCACATAATCCATCTTGCGCTGAACGCCCCTCCCTCCTGCTGCTGCCGTATCAAGCCCAAGATCTCAGGCCAATTCAGAGAAATGCAGTCGAAGCATAAATGTTTAGCTTTGTTATCTGGGCCTGGAAGAGCCGCCAGCTCTCATTTTAAATACCCTGAAAACTAAATATTTTGAAATCAAGAGGTGGGGGTGGGGAAAGGATATTTTTAGAAGGCAATTACGGGAGGCCGGATTGCCAGGATGGAGCTGCGGGGAAAGGCAAGTCCAGGGCTGAGCCAGCTGACTGCCTGCGAGGCCTGTGCTGTGCCATGCTGTGCGCCCGAGAGCAGGAAGCCCTGGGTGTGAGCCTTAGGGGTCTCTCCCAGTCATCTGCTCTCGGAAGACTCCCGCGTCAGGAACTCGCTGACCCCCTCAGCTTCCCCAATCCACAGGGGCAGCTCCCCCTGCTCGAGAGGCGGCTGCTGCCTGCTGGTTCCCAGCCTCTCAGCCACTCCGCCCTGGTTCTCTCCTGACCGGAATGCTGCTTCACCCATTCCACTAACTCCCCCCAGGGAAGTCCAGTCTGAGGACTCCACGCCCCACCCCCCAGATCTTTTCCCTCCTCCCAGTATTCACAGATTAAGCATCCAGTGGGCTCCCGCTTTATTGGGGTTCCTTTCCAGTCCTGCCCGTGTCCGGAGCCCCATCCTGTGTCACCGGCCTGCATTTCTTACAAGGAGCCGGCTGGTACTCCCTGGACTCGGCTTTGTCTGAAAAACTTGTAACCCTCCCTTGCCCCTGAGCTCTCCGGAAGAACTTGGTTCAGACCCCCGTCTGCCTGGTATCAGTGAGGGCGAGTGCTGTTCTCCCAGGCTCTGGGACAACTCTGTCTCCTTGGTCTTACGAGACCACTGTGTCTAACAAGTCTGTCTGCGGGTCCTAGAGTCTCTGTCCTGCACCTTTCTCAGACCTGTCCCTTCTGTTCCCACCCCATCTCAAGAACAACGTTGGTCCAGGTTTCATCCCTACTCCCCCGGACCATGGCCTTCTTGTGCTGCCTTCTTACCCTGCCACGGCCCCACCTTGCGGAGCCACGGAACAAGAACTCTGTCCCACGCCCGGCTCTCAACAACCATAGCTGCAGGGCCAACCATAGCTGTAGGCAGCCCCCTTTATACCTGTTCTTACTCTTTCTCCCAGGAAGCTTTCCTCCCAGGACTGCCCAGCCGGACCTCTACCTCGGAGCCCCTTCTCAGCCAACTGCAGCCTGGCGACCTGTCGGGAATTCTAGTCTTAGACCATTCTTGTTGAACTTGGTGGGGACTGTAAACCTCAGGAGCAGGGAGAACAGATGATGTCCTATCCCCAGGGGCAAAGTAACAGTAAGAAACTAAAAAAAAAAACAAAACAAAATCACTGCCCTGCAGGTGTAGCACAGTGGGTTATGCGTTCAAAACCACCAGCTTCTCCTCTGAAGAGATATGAGGCTTTCTATTTCCATAAAGATCTATAGTTTAGGGAACCCACAGGGGTAGTCTAACTCTGCACAATAAGATCGCGCTGAGTAACATTAATAGTTGCTGGTCACTGAGGAAAGTCTCTGTGTCGTTGTTCATGGTACACCCTCAAGTGCAAGCAAAAAAGGCTGTAGGTTTGAGCTCCCACCCCACCCCCAGGCACCTCAGAAGAGAGGTCCGGGGGTCTCCTTTGGAAAAATCGCACATCGAAAGTTCTCTGGAGCCCAGTTCCACTCTGACACACGTAGGGTTGCCATGCATCCGAATCGGTGCAACCGGTTGATTGAACACTGATAGGCAGTGGTTGTAGGCACTTCCACTGAACTCCACGGGGTCATGTGTGTCTTGCTTACCCCTCGGGGCCTAGCCCAGTGCCTGGCACATTGTAGCTGCCTGTTAACTATTATAGGAAAGAACTTACAACCGGCTCCAGGTTTTGACCAATTCTCCCACCCTCCCGTGCAGGCCTGGCAGAGTGAGGATGCCTGGGGCCCCGCTCCTCCCAACCAGGGTCCTGGAGCCCAGCACCTGCCTCTTGCAGCCACAGGAGACAGGCAGCCGCAGGACCCCTTCAGAAGCCTGGTTTCCTGTTTGACTAGTCAAGGCTTTCTTGCATACAGCTGAGAGAAGCCCACTGAAACCTATCTTAAGGAGTTTACTTATTGGCTTATAAAACTGAGGAGACCAGCGCTGGCACAGACACTGGAGATGACAGGATCGAAGAACTGAGAGTACGGGCAGGACACTCTCCCCCACTGTGTGTTGGCCTCGTTATCTCCAACTGTCAGCCAGGCTTCTCCTGGGTCCATCCAGCCACCCAGAGAAAAGAGCAGGCTCTGTCTCTCTCCATACCCAGACCCTGGAGTCTGGGCTGCCACCTTGCCTGGCCTGTGTATTCAGGGAGCTCCCCAAGAGGCAGAGTACTGACAGGGATGTCCCTTCCAGAACTCGCAGGCGCGCTTTCCCATCAACAGAGGAAGAGTAGGTCCAGGCAGGCCTGGGTGGGACCTGAGTCTGGGACGATCGAGACATGCCCCCACCCACCCACCATCAGCTGTGGCCCCACCCTGACAGTGACTCCTGGTAGCCTGGCTTTTGTCATGTGGGGGTAAGACAGCAGAGCCCTTGAGCCAGGAGCTAAGGGCCGACCTGAGTCCCAGCCCTCCCATGGGAGTCCTTGGCCCTGCCCCTCCAGCCTGGCAGGAGAGCAGCAGACAGAGCCCAGAACTTGGGTCCAGTGGCAGCTCCGCCATGCTGCTTGAAGCAAGTCACCCCACCTCCCTAGCCTTGGGTTTTCCCATCTGTAGTTGATGAGCTTGCGAGGCCAGGCCCTGCTCCTTATGTTCCCAGACTTCTGCTTCGAGGTTGAGGCTGACATCCAACACGCTCACATACACACACACAGGAGAGACATGCACACAGTACGCCTCTCCTCTGCTGCCCTGCTGCCGCCTACGGCAGGCAAGAACCGAGCCAGGTGGCCAAGGTCACTGCAGGGGACCAGGAGGCCCCCCATGAAGGAATTCTCCCAGATGGAAATGCCCCGGCTCCTGGTTCACCCATGGACCCCAGTAAACCTGTCAGAGCTGTAGCCTGAGGCGGGGGTGAAGGGCTTCCTCCCGCAGCTATACCTGCCCACCTCTGACTCATCCCAAGGTGGGTTGGCCTGGCCCGCCCAGGCCCCAGGGGAGCCAGGACTACAGAGGTGGAGCTGCCACAAGAGGGTGTGACAGGGCCAAGGAGGAGCAGTGGACTCCTTGGAGCCCTCATTTACTCCCCGGGACACCCGGTACTCCTTCCCCAAGCCAGAGTGAGCTCGTGCCCCACTCACCGGAGGTGCCCTGCCTGCCTGAACTGGCTGGGAGGAGTCTGCACGAAGCTTGGGGTGCTCGTAGCCAAACAGTCGGCTTGTTCCAACCGACTTCTGCGTTAGAGAAACCACTGCCTTGTCCTGGGAATGTCTCAGGGCGGCTGCACCAGTCCTAGGATATCAGGCTGGGCCTGGCTTCATCCCATGGGGCAGGCAAGTTTGACCAGGCGTGTCACAGGACCATAGAGGCCTGGAGGCCATCTGTCCATTTCTGGAGACTTACAAAGACTGTAAGCACACCGACGGGTGCTTTTTGTCTTGAATTCCGAAGGCCCTGGTTTAGCAAGGTTCTGCGCTCCAGGATCCCTGGCGTAACTGCAAGGTCAGCCGTTCAAACCTAGCAGTCGCTCCACGGCAGAAAGACCAGACGTTCTGCTCCTGTGAAACGTATCCTCTCAGAAGCCCAAAGGAACAGTTGTACTCTGTCCTCTAGACTCGGAAGCAACTCGTGGCAGTAGATGTGATCTGGGTGGGCTCTGGGCACGGAGAATCAGTCTGGGCCCCCAACAAAGCCCCCCAAATTGCAGGAACCTGAAACCTGAGTTCCAGAGCGACTGAGTATTCGAACATACAGACAAGGGGAGACAGGCAACTTTGTCAGAGAGAAAGGGGGCTACTGGGCAGGTAGAAAGGATCCCTGATAGATGAAGAGACAGTTCACCTGGCCCTTGAACAATAGGCAGAGAGGCCTTGATGAGTGAGGGAGAAGAGCGGGTACCACAGGCGGCAGCAGGTAGAATGTCCCTCTACAGCATCACCTCTAGTCTTGACCCTTCCAAAGACCCTGATACACTCATTCCCCCCAAGGCACTAATGGCTGACAACAGCTGCCAACTTGAACCCTCCAGGATATTTAAGTTTATATCCATAATTTATATCCCATAGAATTCGCCCTTTGAAAAGTGCCCAGTTCCATGGTTGCAGTATGTCTACAAAGTGGTCCAACCCTCCCCACGATCTGATCCCACACTGCTTGCACCACCCCAGTAAGAAAGCACCTATCCGCTTCTCCCCGCCCTCTCATAGCCACTTCCTGTCTGCTTTCGGAGAAGCCCTGGTGGCCCAGGGGTTCTGCGTAGGGCTTCGAACAGCCAGGTCAGCAGTTTGAAACCATCAGCCGCTCAGTGGAAGAAAGACTGGGGGCTGTCTACTCCTATAAGGAGCTGCCATCTGGGGCACTCACGGAGGCAGTTCTACCTTGACCTCCTCTGGCCGCTCTGAGTCAGTGTGGGCTCAAAGGCTCGACGTGGGATCGATGTCTGTCTTGGGATTTGCCTATTCTGGACATTTCAGATCAGTACATCGCACCGTGATGTGGCCTTTTGTCAGTGACTCCCCTACTTAGAATAATGTTTTCAAAGTTCCCCTGTGTTGTAATATCCCTCCTTTTTTTTTTCAAAATCATGTTATTGGGGGCTCCTACAACTCTTATCACCATCCATCAATTGTGTAAAGCACATTTGTACATTCGTTGCCCTCATCATTCTTAACACATTTGCTCTCCACTTAAGCCCCTGGCATCAGCTCCTCATTGCCCCCCGCCCTCCTTCTTATGGCTATGGAATATCCCGTGGTATGGCGGTGCGTTTTGGTTGATCCATTGATCAGCTTGGATCAGTTGGGTACTATTTCCACAGCTGTCCTATAATGAAAACCGATTTTTGTGAGCATTGGTGTCGACGTTTCTGCGTGGACACATTCTCTGGAATGCAACTTCCGAGTCATTTGGAATGCCTATGTTTAACCCTTTGAAGAAGCACCACACTGTCCCCACGGCTGCGCTACCGCGTTATGCCCGCGGCGGCCAGGGGTGAGAGGACCGAATTCTCCACAGCTTCACTCACCCCCACTAGTGTCTGTCTTTGTCGTTGCTGCCACCTTCGTGGACAGGACGTGGTATGCCGTTGTGGTTTCCATTTAGATTTCTCAAACAACCTCCCAGGGAGCTTTGCATTTCCTGGGAGTCGGCTGGAATCTATGAGGAAGAGGGTTTAGAGGCCTATGCAATATTCGCATCATCCACAGAGGCCACACTAGTCCTTGGCCTGGTAGCAGAAGGCATCTTTCTTCACCGAATCGGATGGTCATGTGTTTGCTCATTCGTTGAGTATTAATTACAGCACTCTGTGCCAGATACCCTGCCAGACAGTGAGATTCGGGCAAACAGGACTGACAGGACTTCAACTCGATGGAGCTTACATTCTAGGACAGGAACTAACCATTAAACAACGTGTACGTGCACAAGATCGGTGAGGGTGTTGGAATCCCTAGGCGTGCCTGAAGCTCAAGGAAGGGGTCCCGGAGCCAGCCTCTGTGAGGCCGGGCATTCTGGAAATCCCGCATGATTAGAGGAGCTGGACCAGGACTAGCATCGTTTGAATGGTTAAGACAAGGGTAGGAGACGGAGCAGAAGGTAGAAGCAGACTTTATTCAATGCAGAGGGTAGTTATTATCATCCCCCAAGGAAGAGATAAGGGTGGGCTGGTCTAGGACAGGAAGGCGTCCCCCAGGACTCTGCAGAAGGTAGAAATGGCAGCCCTTGGAGCGAGAGGACTGGGAGGGATACCAGAGGAAGAGAACACCCAGATGCCCTCTAGGGGGGTAAGGTACCACCCCACACTGAGCTGGGAACAAGTGGAGATGCAGGTGAGGGGGCAGGTGAGTAGGAGCTCAGAGTTTCATGTCTTGGATTTGGGGTGGCTGTCATCACCCAGGAGCACCGGTGGTGTAATGGGTTCAGTGTTGGACTGATAACCACAAGGTCAGCAGTTCAAACCCACCAGCCACACCCAGGAAGACAGATGAGGCTTGTCTGCTCCCATAAAGGTTTGCAGTCTCAGAAACCACAGGGCAGCTCTACTCTGTCCTATAGGATCGCTGTGAGTCAGAACCCACGTGACAATGGCAATGAGTTTGATTGTGTTGGTTTCTATCTGCCCCCCCAGGTGGAAGTGTCAGGGGAGGAGCTAGATTTTCCAGCTTAGTGCCATCAGGACACCTTCTCTCCTCCAAGCATGTGAGGACACCATCCACGGTACCAGGACTGTAGGCCGTGGCCAGGGGTGCTGGGCCTGTAACTCTGCCACGGTGTGAACGTTCCTTTTCAGGGAGAAACCCTCCTGGCACCCGGCTTCCCCACAGCCAGATTTGGGCCACAGTGATGTCAGAAAGCCCTGTCATTTGGAGAGGTACCCCATAAGCACTTCCTTCTGCAGTGGAAAGGCCCTTCTCTGTGCCGTCTGTGGCTGGCTCCCCCATGACCTGCCTTCAGGGGGCCAGCCCGTCCCCCTGGTGGCATGGTTCTGTTAGTCACAGGCCCACCAGCATGTAGGAGGGTCCTACTGCCCCTCACCTCTCTGCTCTGTCTACTTTCCCTTGCCCTGAACTGCAGCCACGGGCCTCCTTGACCATCCATACAGTTGGGCCTGGTAGGTCACAGGACTTAGCCAAGGCCTCTAAGAAGACCCAGGCTGGGGTCTGGGAGTGTACACCCCCCACCCCCACCCCCCCTCTGCTTTTGTCAAGCCTTGAAGCTATAGCATGGTTTTCAGCGAGGGACTGGGTGATGGTTGAGAGACTCATCCCGGAGTCAGGGGCCCTGTGGCTTGGTCACAGTCCGTCACCTAACCGGCTGCTCTCTTGCCGCCTTCTTGCTTGGCAGGGTAGGGGCAGGACAACCTCTTGGGTCCATCCAGCCATGGGTCTTACAACTTGCAGGCATGGTCCCTCAGCCATTTCTCTTCTGTGTCCCTTTCCCAGTGCCCCGAGTCTCACTGACCTCCAAGTGGACCAGGGCCCTCCTCTCTCCAGCCAGCATGTGGGCCCTCGCTGGGTTTGGGTGACTGTGGGCTGCAGAATGGCGTCCCAAGGTGCCAGCTCCACAGCAGGCACCGTGTGAAGGGGAACGGGGGCTGGCCCTGCCCGCTGGGTTTTATCAGCCAGCTCCTCAGACATATACAGAGCAGAGCTGTGTATACACTCCCAGTCCCCCGCGCGCCATCTGTCTCCCCACATGTCTAAACACTGAGGGCGCCAAGTGCCTGCCCTCCTCCTCTCACCCCTATTCCTGAGAGGCTCAGACCCCTGGGGAGGCAGGGCCGGCCAAGGTGGAATGGGCCCCCTCAGTCAGGGGACCATTGCTGGTATGAGTGGGTCCCCTCCAACCCCAGAGCACTGAGGGGGAGCAAGAGCTCGTTGTGACCACCCAGATAGGGCACAGAGCCCAGGGGTGCTCTGGGACAGATGGACACTGGTGTTTGGGGCAAGAAGTTTAACTTGAAACCAGGGTCCCCACTGCCATCCCTGAGGGGAGCAGAGCGCCGTTTTACCTTCCCGTCTCAAATCTGATCCACCCAGCGTGCAGTCTGCTTCGGTGGCCTGCAAGCTTCTCACCGAGCTGCCCACCGTGTTGGCCCCGCCCTAACCCAGTTCCCCCACAGCAGCCTGACTTCCAGGCCCCGAGGCTGCCCTCAGAGGCTAATGCTGACTGCACAAGGGCTGCCTGCCATGGGGGAGATGGATCATAATGGCCTTAGCGGGAGGCTTAGAGCCAGCTCAGCCCTGGGAACAAGGAAGACGAGAGTAGAGGCCAGGGTTTCTCCCCTCTCCTTCCCTCAAGTCTTAGAGAATGGCAATGCCCAACAGGTGCCAGTCCCCTTCAGAGCCAGCCCCCAGCAGCCAGTCCAGGCCCACCCAAAGAGCCCAAGCAAGCAGAGTGGAAAATATCTGATTTACCGCCCACCCCGCTCTGGGCCTCTTGCCCACATCCAGTGTCTGCCTCCATCCACCTGCAGCCCAGGATCAGAGCTGGGCCGCCGGCACCGAGCCTGGCTTCTGCTATCTTCTCTCCCCCTCTGAGAAAGGGACACCTGCCCGGCCTGTGGCGGTCTGCCCCAGCGCGGGGAACAGGGTCTCCCGAGGGTGACCATCACTGCTCGTGGTGGCTTCTCGTTTCCCTGGCTGGTGCCTGAGCAGGAGTGGCAGGCCTTCCCTCCGCAGTGCTTGCTGCAGTCTCTGCTGATCTTCAGCCTACCAGCGTGACGCACCGGTGGGCTCTGGGGCCTGTGGTGGTCTCCGAGGGTCACTGACTATGTCTCTCCTACCTCCAGTGACTACCACTCTGTCAACCTGGTCTGGGCACGCCCGGAAGTGCAATGAGACGGCCAAGTCCTATTGTGTCAATGGAGGCGTCTGCTACTACATCGAAGGCATCAATCAGCTCTCCTGCAAGTAAGTGGCCAGCGGGGGTGGGCATGGGGGCCAGAGCCGGGTGGGACAGGCTAGGGCGGAAGTGGAGGGCTCTAGGAAAGGTGGGCAGCAAGCCACTGACAAGGGGTCCCCAAGGGGTGTAGACAGAGGAGATGCCCCACTTCCCAGCCCCTCCTGGGATCTAGGGAGGTGTGAGCATTGAGAGATGAGGGGCTTCTCCTGTCCTATTTCCCCAGGCCCCTACCCATCCCGCCTCCCAATGTCCACTGTCCACCAACACCCTTTAGGAGAATAGGGGTGCCAGTCTATGGGAATCTGTTCTCGCTCTTTCTCTCTCCCCGCTTCACCATCCTCTAATCTCAGAATGTGCCCAAACCTTGTTCTTGGTGAACACCTCCCAGGCCATGTCTTTGCCGCAGTGAAGAGTCTGGCAGCGTCAGGCAGAGCACAGGTTCCTGGTCCTTGGCAGCTAAAGGCCCTACTCGCATAGTCATGAGGGAAGAACTCTTGCCGCAGGCTCTGGCTGCTCCTTACACCCTGCAGAACCTCCACGTCCAGCTCTGCTCTGAGTGCTCCCCACACCCTGCAGAACCTCCACGTCCAGCTCTGCTCTG